AGAAAAACAAATACAAACCACATGGARTGGTTTGGGATGGAGGGGACCTTGRAGATCATCCAGTGCCACCMTCTGCCATGGGCAGGGACACCTTCCACTGTCCCAGGGTGCTMCAAGCCCTGTYCAACCCRGCCTTGGRCAATCTCWTCACTAATTATCTGGAACATCTTTGCCTAATTAGTTTTTAAATCTAAAGAAGAATCTCTGCTCAAATTTGAAAGTCCATGGGAATCAGGTGAGGTGTGGAACACCTTGAGGAGGCCAAGCAGTTTAAACACTCAGCTTCCAAATTCAGCCCCATCATTTTTCATCTCACAAAACACCACTTTGCCCATTTTTGTGGCAGCAGATATAAAAGAGAACTCCCCAAACAGCATCATTTTTGTCCCTCTCTGTGTTTAGTAATCAGCACAAGACATTGCCCTCTTGCTGGGCTACTCAGCTTCATCTGGTGCAGAAGTTTGAAAGCTCTTTTGCAGAGGTGCAGATCTAGAGCTGACACCTCAGAGTGGGCAGCACTGAATGATAAATAAATAACCACCAGAAATCTTCTCCAAATGCCAACCCCCAGGTAGCAGAGTGACTGTTTGCACTTCACTGCAACATAAATATCAATCTAAGGGTAGAAGATGATAAATTCTTCACAGAAATGAGTTCTGGAAACTTYGCTGGGTACCAAAAATGATGAGTTCAATGTGCTCCAATGGGGAATGGGTCCATGGCAAACAATTCTCAAGGAACCAGCAGTGGGTACAACAATTATTGCTTTTCCAGTGTAACCCAGGTGAGTGGCTAAAGCAAARTGAGAGCTGCCAGTGCTTCTGTGAAGGGAGCTGTGTGTGCCCTCAGTGCCCCCAGAGACAGGAAAAACAGGCCAAGAGCTGTTTGGGCACGGGGCTGAGCCACCCTCTTCGGGTGACACACATTAGTGGGTGCCAAGGAAGAGCTCTCTGYTGTCACTCCCTGCAGTTCAGCTGTTTGTGAGAAAATAACCTCCCTGCTTCGCTGGGGCTGTCAATCCCACACCTGGCGGGATGTGATTYGCACTCACACACACCCCAAGGGCTGCACATCACACCAGCCAAATGGAAAAACATCCCAGCAGAGGATCACTGGGGAGGAGAATTAATGCTGCAGCCTTGTGTCAACCAAGGGACAAAAATGCTGAAAGAATTGTGCTTCCTTCATGGGAAAGAGAGCAGCAGCAACACTGCTCACTTGCACAGCAGCAGATCCCATAAACACGAGCAATATGGATATTCTCACTTCTATTTTCTTCTAGCTTGACTTTACATCCTTTTTTGTTCAACCAAATTAAGGGGCTAAAGAGCAAGATGTGCTCAGTAGGGGAAATTCACCTTCGTGCAGAGGCTCCCATGAGCCATCCCATGAATTGCCAGATTAGCTTTAAGAAGGWTTTGGGCTAAAGCCACTGTTCCCATCACTTGGACAACTATTGATTCCCTCACATCTCCAGGTCAGGCCTGCACAGCCCCATTCTTCAAGGATTTCCAGGTAAATTAAACAAGGAATTCWTTCTTCACTCTCCTGTTTGGAGATTGTTTTCAYCCTGAATTCCTCTCAGTGATGAAAATATCTGGGCTGACTTTCATTGGATTTAGACACCCCAGCACTGCAGCCTTCTCCCATTTGAAGAGAAGATACCAAGTTTAATGACTTCCCAGTGATTTTCCTTGAGAAAAAAAGATGACCTTGAGAGCAGATTGTATGTCCTCGAGGATTCATGACACAGAACTTCCCTAACAAATGTTTACCAACTGCATATGGGCATTCTTTTCCTGGTACCATTTTATTCCTTATTCATCTTTTCAACCAGCCCCATTATCTCATCTTCCTGATTCAAACACTCTTGGAACATGGTGTGAAAAAAGCCAATGTACTAAAGAACAGGGCCACTTAAAACTAGTTCACATGTCATGCCCTTAATTTACTGTAATATGAAAAAATTTACCTTTGCCTCTGTTCTAAATGAGGTTCATGATCAGTTCCCAGCTCCTCTCATTATATTTATATGCATGACATTACTGCATTTGTAATAATGCTAAATGACACAGCCTCCAGCACGAAGAAGAAATTGCCTCCCACTCTCACACAGGAACCAATTCCTACGTGTCCATTAGAAGGCATTAAATTTTGGGACCAGCACATTCACAGCCCCTGAGTTATTTGTAGATTAAATTATTCGAAAAACGTGTAATGAATCCGCTCTCATGCAATTTAGAAAACAGAGCAGACTTCTATGATTTCTTCATCATCAGAACATCCTTGTAGTTTGGCTAAGAGATTCTCACAAGCTGTTCCTGAATTACTGATCACATTTATCCCTGCAAACAGATTTAACTCCTGATCCAGCTCATTGCAGAGTCCCACAGGCAGCAGTGGTTGTGTTTAGCTTGGACTCTTAGAAAATACAGATTGAACTGTATTTTGGTTATAGAAACTGCACATYAGAGCACATTTCAGTTCTGCCACTGCTCAGACAGTGCTGTCAAACCAAGAGAGATTTTGACCTCAAAAAGTCAAATTATGGGAGGGAAATTGATATCTAAGGGACCTGTAATAGATACCTTGATAAAGAGTACCCCCTATGTTACTACATCAGACACATTCTGATAATAACACAACAAACCTTTCTGGCAAATTATAGAGAATGGTTATTATGGAAAAGTTTTTGCCTCACAGAAATTCAAATGCATCTCCTGGTGACATTATACCTACTGCCTCTTCAATAGCTCTCAGCTCAGCTCCCAGATTTCCTCTTACTGATGATAAACAGTGACTGCAATAACACAAATAATGCAAAACCAGAGCAGCACTCGCTGGCTGTTGCAAAAGGACAATGAGAGTAAATTTAGATAGAGACAGGCTGAGAAATGGAATAGGGGTTCAGGCAGCATGGATGCAGTAGATGAAGTGCATCAATAATTTAGGTTTAGTTTTAAATAACTGAATAAGATCCCAGAGCCTTCTGGATTTGGGGTTCACATCTCCATACACCATACTCTTATTTCAGGACTGTGAAACACACTTGAAATCTGTACATTTTTTAGCATTTTGGAGCATCTATTTTTCCAGTTTATCTTATGTTTATAGTAGATACCAAAACATTTTGAGATGTGAGTGTTTTTGAGTGTGTRTGTCTGTGCAGAAGGATTTTCTCAAGTCCTCTTTGAAAGTTGTACCTTTTCCCCTTTGTCTTGGTTACAATTTTCCCTGCACTTATAAACCATCTTTGCATTAAGGTGTATCCAGCCCGGGTGTTTGCTCCTTTTTCACTGGATATTTATCATATTGTTCCTTGTCGCTTCCAAGCCAAACCTCCCGCTGAGATTTGGAGCCAGCAGCCAGCCAGGCTGTGCACATACAACCAGCTCTAATGCTTTCATGCCTCATTAAGTGACCTGCTGCTCTTTTCTGCACTCGCCCAGCATTTCTGGATGTCCAGCAGCAGCAAAGCATCGGTCACAGGAGAGCAGCTCCGTGGTGTCTGGTGGATCTGCCAAAAACAGGGAGTCCCTGAGCAGAGCCCAGAGCTGGCCTGCGCCTCTGACATCTTTCCTGAGACCAGAACTAACTCCTGGGATTTTTTTATTATTCGGAAAGAAAAAGGACAAAGTTGTAGCGTGCTCTGCTCAGAGTGATGCCATGCCAATATCGTGTGTCTGCTCTGGCGGTGCTGGTGTGTAAACAGTCACAGAAAGCACAGAAAACACAGAAAACACAGAAAGCACAGGAAACACAGAAAACACAGAAAACACAGAAAACACAGAAAACACAGAAAACACAGAAAACACAGAAAACACAGAAAACACAGAAAGCACAGGGTTCTGGGCACTGCCCAGGCTCCCAGGAATGGTGTGTAAACAGTCACAGAAAGCACAGAGAGCACAGAAAGCACAGAAAACACAGAAAGCACAGAAACCACAGGGTGCTGGGCACTGGCCGGGCCCCCAGGAATGGGCACAGAGGAGCTCTCAGAGCTCCAGGAGCATTGGGACAGCGCTGCCAGGGATGCTCAGGATGGRGTTCTTGGGATATCAATTTTCCYTCTCTCCACTGAAGTCATTCCCCCTTCCCTTGCCATTCCAGTTCCTGAGGATAATCCCTCTGGCTCGCTGGGGATTGTTGGCGTGTCCTGTGCAGGATATAATCCTGGAGGGTCCCTTCCAGCTCAGGATATTCTGTGATATTTACAAGTGATATGATGAGGGGATATAACTCCAAAATGAAAGCGGGGAGGACCAGAGTGGGTATGAGTGAGAACCGAGGGGTTCTGGGTAGGTAAATGGGTACCAGGTAGGCTTCCAGAGCCACTGGCTGCTTAGCCCTGGAATGAAAAGCTGTGCTCCAAGGATTCACTGGTAAAGCTGAGCAGTGGGTAGAAGCAAAAAGCTCTGACACTTCAATCTCACGTCTCAAGCAGCTGTGTGGGTGTGCCTTGGCACACGTTTGGATCAAATAATCTGGTTTTAGTTATGAAACTTGAATTGTGTAAGAATTTACACCAAGCTCATTGCTTCCCTTTGAGAGGAATAGATGGAAGAAGGAGCTTGTCTGAGCTCTGCTACAGCATTTGCTCTGCTGATGTGGAAGAGCAGAAGCGTGGAACTGTCTTCCCAAATCACTCCGTGTGCAAGGCACTTCTTTTATTATTTCAGACTGGTTCAACTAACTAGAATATGATCTTGTGCTTCATGCTAATAAATACTTTTGTTTTCTTTTTTAGGATGCGGGTGAACCCCTCAAAAAGACAGCCACTGATTCCTCGGGAAGAGGGTACCCAGAGGATGCCCATTGTAGCTGTGTGTGCCCGGGATGCCGGGCAGTGCCCTCGGGAAGGCCCTGGCAGAGGATGCCCATTGTAGCTGTGTGTGCCCGGGATGCCGGGCAGTGCCCAAAGCCAGGCTGTCCATCGCTCTGTCCGGCTATCCTCCCCTCACAAACCGCACCCTGCGGCTTTAAGGAGGCGGCCGGGGCGGATCCCGGCTTCCCGGCCCTCCATGCGCGCTCGGTGCCGCCATGTACCGCCTGTGCCGCGTGTCCCCGCTGCTGTCGCCGCTCTCCCCGCCGCTGTCCCCGCCGCTGTCACCGCTATTGTCACCGCTGTTGTCGCCAGGACCCTCGCTCCGTGTCCCCCGCCCCGCCCGGTTCGCGCTGCCGGGGCCGGGCCCGCTCCGCGCCGCCGCCAAGGTACGTGAGGGCCGAGGGGCCGCCCGCGGTAAAGAATTCCCTGAACTAACAGCGTTCCTCAGCCTTCTGSAGGTGCCTTTCAGTGCTATGGAGGTGTCTTCACCTCCACCTGCCTTCCCATCCCCATGGGGTCATTGGATCGTGGTTATCTCGGCTTTTTGTAGGGGATGGTTTGCACCTGCCGGGGGTCGCATCGTCACTGTGAGCTTTCCGGGGTGCCTCGTCTGCAGTTTAATGTCTGCAGTTTAATGTCTGCAGTTTAATGTCTGCAAGTTAATTTCTGCAGTTTAATATCTGCAGTTTAGTGTCTGCAGTTTAATTTCTGCATTTTAATGTCTGCATTTTAATGTCTGCAGTTTAATTTCTGCATTTTAATTTCTGCAGTTTAATTCGGAGCCTGATTTGTGTAGCCTCATTGCGAAGCGTAACACAATGCTTTCTATTTATTTTCATGCCTTAATGATGCGAAAAGAATGGGCTTTTTYTTTGTTGCAATATTGTAGCGGAGTGATATGGAAATAGGCAACAGCTTTACTTGCTAAAGTGTAATTTATTCTGTACATTACTGCTCTGGGTACTCCAAATAGTATCTGTTGAAGTGGTTCTTTTTTAATATTTTGTTTCAATACCATTGCTGGTGTGTGAGCCTGGGAACACGAATGAATTGGAATGGACTTGAAAGATCAGAACACACAGTTTTTCTGTCCTTATGATCCATCTGTAAGACCCGGAGCTCATGAGCCACAAAATAAAAATATAAAATTGTCCATTATGCTTGAAGATTTTAGATACAAGAATCAGGATGAGCTATGCAGTTCCCTGTTTATGTATCAGTATGATTTCCTGTCAAAATTGAATACGAAGTAAAACCAATTATGACTTTAAAAGAGAAAACCAGCAGCAAACAATGGAGTTTTAAGGTTTGGGCAGGTGGCATGCTTACTGCGAGGATTGTAAGACTGTCTTGTATCCTAATTTACAATCTTATTAAGACCAAGAGTTAATCAAGAATATTTTTCTTGATGTTCTGCACCTGAAATGTACCGAGATAAAAATCTATCAAAAACTTCTACTGTGACAAACATTTTCAGTGTGTTTGGGCCCCTGACACCAGCCCTGGCGTGTCCCTGTAGTTGTTGTCTACACTGTGGCAACAGGGCTGCTGGTTGCTGTCAACACTTGCAGTTCCCCAGTTCTTCCTTTTATCAGCTCATCAATTAAGGGTGATTTATAGGAATTTAAATGTTGGATCTCTTCCATCAGTGAGTTGTTATTAAGTGGTACCGGGTAGGCTTCCAGTGCCACTGGCTGCTTAGCCCTGGAATGAAAAGCTGTGCTCCAAGAATTCACTGGTAAAGCTGAGCAGTGGGTAGAAGCAAAAAGCTCTGACACCTCAATCTCACGTCTTAAGCAGCTGTGTGGGTGTGCCTTGGCACACATTTGGATCAAATAATTGGGTTTCAGTTATGAAACTTGAATTGTGTAAGAATTTACACCAAGCTCATTGCTTCCCTGTAAGAGGAATAGTTGGGAGAAGGAGCTTGTCTGAGCTCTGCTACATCATTTGCTCTGCTGATGTGGAAGAGCAGAAGTGTGGAATTGTCTCCCCAAATCACTCTGTGTGCAAGACACTTCTTTCATTATTTCAGACTGGTTCAACTAACTAGAATATGATCTTGTGCTTCATGCTAATAAATACTTTTGTTTTCTTTATAGGATGCAGGTGAACCCCTCAAAAAGACAGCCACTGATCCCAGTGCTGAAAACAAGACGCTCAACAAATCCCAGCAGCTGAGACAAGTTTTTAAAGAATATGGTGCTGTAGGGGTTTCCTTCCATGTTGGAATTTCGTTAGTATCTCTGGGAATCTTCTACCTGGCTGTGTCAAGGTGAGGTTTGTACAGCTCTCTGTCACATCTAGGTAATGGTTAAAGTAAAATACATTTACCATTGTGCTTATCTCTGACAGGAGACAGGTATCTGATGCCTGTTGGATCTATACAGTCACCTCCTGAATTTTGAGTTTGGATGGGCCCATAAATGGACTTGATCTCCCACCAGGCATGAGAGAAGTTGTAGATGGTCTTTTTGCACAGGTTCACCAGCAGTGAAAACAGCAGACACAGCACAACATATCTGACTGGGCAGARAATGTGTTTGTTTTGCAGATATCTTTTGTTCTTGCTTGGTCTGGAGAGATAGAGCCATGCAAATGTGCTGGGGCTTAGAGATAAACTTATTTTTCTGGGTGTTGAACACAGTTTGTGCAGTTGAACTGCAGAAAATGACAGCCACTAGAATGGGATTAGAGTGAAAATGGGGCAGAACCAGAGTCAGGTGGGGAGTTTTGTGTGGCTTTGTGGGAATACATCAGTTACATGAGGTTTTTGTTGCTTCTTCCAATATTCCCTGCTCCTTATTCCTGACTCCAATGGGAATATATGAGTGCCTGACTTCTCCTGTTTACTGCATCATGCACAGGGTGAAAACTATTTTTTTCCTTCAATTATGGCTGAATTCTTGATGAAAGCTGCTATGCCTATAGAGAATTAAGCTATTAATGGATTTGGTGGATAGTGCTCGTTTGAGATCCCTAACACGTCCTTCACTTGCTAGATTTTAGAGACTTGTCATTTTAAGACCTTTGTACTCCTGTATCAGAACACTAAGCCTAACAACAGGTACCTCATTTGGTTTGCATTGATCTGTGTTTAGGTGATAAATTTCCTCAAGACAGAGTTTAATGTCAAATTTGGGAAGGTGAAATTCCCACACAATTTCACAGTAACTTTTTGAAAATCACTGTGCAGAGAATTCTCTAAAGGCTGAGTTGGAAGTGCAACATGTTAAGTCGTTGAATAGAAAAATAGCACTTTATCTTTTTTAGCTTAAAGATATCTCTTCTGTTTCCCCAGTGGCGTGGACATGACTGCAGTTCTGTTCAAGCTGGGTTTCAGTGAGGCCTCTGTGCAGTCCAGGATGGCAGCAGGCACCAGCACCTTTGTGCTGGCCTATGCTGTGCACAAGCTCTTTGCCCCAGTGCGCATCAGCATCACCGTGGTGTCCGTGCCCTTCATCGTCCGCTACTGCCGCAAGGTCGGCTTCTTCAAACCCCCTGCCTCCAACCCCTGAGGCATTCCTGCCTTTTGCTTTCCAAGTGTTCCATATCTACGTAGCTCTTCAGGTGCAAAGTTTCTTTAAAGGACTTGGTTGGGATCATGYTGGACCTCATCTTGCATTTCTAATTGTTCTTTCAGGTAAATGTCACTGTGAAAAGCGCTGTCCTTATCTCCTTTCCCTTTTGCCACTTGTTCTTGGGAAAAGCCTGTTCAAATGGGATTTGGYTTGTGCTGCAAGTGGGAATATAAAATCTTGACAATGGGCACACAGTTTTGGGTCTTTACAATGCAGCTTTTTGAGCCTTCATTGTTTTTCTTTTCAAAACAGTCATAGCATTGGTTTATTACTGTGTAGCTGAGAAACTGTGAGAATCTCTTCCCACTAGAATAAATAATATCTTACTACACTGGTACTTCTCTTGAGAAGGGTATACATTGGAATCTAAAATGGCAGGTGGGTGTTTCTTTTGTTAGAAGAGGCTTTTAGTACAGCCCCTACAGGCACTGAACTCACTTCAGTAGGAGTRTGCATCTGATTATTGCACAGTCATGATTGGTTTAGTCACAATAGGTGATTCACTGTTCTGAAACTTCTGTGTAGTGCTTCCATATGCCAAGATTTTATTATTTGAAGATGTGCTGGCTGGGAGCCTGCCTTACTGAAATCCCTTTTTTTTCCATGTCTATAGACTCAGAAGAAATCCTAAGTCTACTGAAATCAGTGTGACCAGAATTACCTATGTGAACATACTCCAAAGAGCATTAAGTCAGAGATAAGCTGGGGGRTTTTAACATTTTGAGATCTGGCTTTGTACTGGAAATACCTTTTTTTATATCTTAAAACAAACCCCAGCAGCTTTCTGCTCCTGGGGATGCACCTGAAGTCCAGACATTCCAATTCACAGCTTCCCAGGAGGAATTCCTGTGCTTTGGGCTGAGACTGGTGAATGTAGCAATGAGAGGGTTTTGCCTTTCCTTATGGGGACACTGTTGTGTTAGAATGTAGTTACATGTATGGATATCCACATTCCACCTTCCAGTTAATCTGAAGATGGAATCCCAAAACAGCTAAGTGGAGTTTTGAGGAGACTGGCTGAGGACAGGAAGGAGGAGAAAATTTTAGGAGCAGCTTCTTGCCTCCCCTTTGCCAGAACATTAAATTGCACCTTAACTCGTTCTCCCCACAGTAAGTCCCAGGCTTCATGTGTACCAAGGATAAGAATTCCAAAATAACTCTGAGGCAGCCTTGTTTACTTCAGTTAGAATAATTTCTGAGAAGGGTGTTTTGTTTTGAACTTGATAAAGAAATATTCAAAGTTTCTTTTTCAAAATCACGTGTAAAGCTGAAAACATAGAAAGTAAATGTACCTAAAAGTCAGTAGAAGGCACCAGCACTAAATTAGTTTTCTTGCTGTAAAGAAAGAGCTTCATATGAATTATGACCAGAATTCAAACTACTTAAGATAAATAGGGTTGTATAAACTACTGGCAGTTTTAGATAACTTTAGATGAAGTTTTTTTTGCAAAGTATATTTTAAATTAATTCGAGAATATATTTTGAATTCTGGAATCCTTGCTTGTAAAAGGACCATTTTTTAAAATTGTTTGTAAWATAGTGAAGTCTTATAATGAAAAGACAATAAATTGCTTTTTCTTAGTTTGCTTGAAGTGTTTTACTGGAAAAGAATTGGTCTCTTTATTTTGGTGGCAAGGGGCCTGACCCTTAGCACCATTTAAGGAATGTCTTACAACACCAGATGTTATTACTTCCTGTTACACAACATCATCTCAAAGTAGTTCTGAGAGAARGGGCTGGAAAATATTATCAGAGGGGAGATCTTCGAATAAATTCATTGGGAAAAGGACAGAACAGGCCAAGCTCTCAATAAACCAAGCAGGTTAAATAGCAACACATTTGGTACTTAGCTTGTAATCCTAAATTGGGATTGTGAGATAGYAAATGACTTCTGGAGCTTCCTTTTTGCCAGAGGTGGGAATTGAACTCTGTGCCCAGGAGGAGTGGAGCTGAGCTGGAGCCAATCAGTGCCACAAGGAGCCTCATTCTGCAGGGTGCAGTATAACAATGCTTTATTTTACGAGTGCTCACATTTAAAACTAGAGACCAAACYAATTGACACATCATTTTAGAACATTTGAAAAAACACATTCACCTCGCTCATTTTCAGGTTACACCACAGGTAGGACACCCTGAGCAGCCCAGGCAGGGAGGAGCAGGCATCTCCAGGATATTGCACTGTCCAGTAAGCCAGAACAACAACTTCCTCTTGGTGAAACAACGAACCATTTTCAGCACAGACCACAGCACAAGAGCCTCCAACAGCTTCATACTTACATCAGCAAACCTGGCCCACATGGAACTGGATTTCAAGTATATTAAATATTCCACAAGCTCCAGCTAGAAGTCAAATAATTTTACGCTGCAATTTGAGTGTAAGACACCAGCCAACCYGAGGATTTGCATCCCAATTGCCACTAGATTCCAAGACCTGCTTTTCCTATTGTAAGCATTACAGTAGTCACAGTACAAGGCTCCTCTTGTTGATCCCAGAAGTCACCTCTCCTAAAACTATGTTTTGGATGGGGCAGCACCTTCACTCTTCCTGCTGGTGGGAATCTTGGTAGAGTTTGCTGTGATCCAAGGATGGAGAAGGACATCCTTCAGGGGCAGGCGATGGAAGGGGTTATGCTTCAGGAGCTTGGAAATTAAATCCCTCGCACCTTCTGTTACAAACGGAGGAAAYTTGAATTCCACCTAAGGAAAAAAGGACACTACAGATGATGCAAAAGTTCTTTGGCAATAACCAAACTACAGAGTTAAACATATAATCATAGCTACACTTTGAAAGCTGTGTCAGCCTTGCAGACTGTGCACCTTCTGCCTATTAAGATCAAATAATTTCATCACAATCCTGAACAAGCTGCTCACTGCTTGTAGAAATATTTGTGTATTATTATGTTTGTTTTCATTATGCTTCAAACTTAAATTTGCTGAACTCTTCCTAGAACTGAAAGCATGACCCAGTTAATCCTGGTAAGCATTTGCACACTTACCCTGGAAATAGCTCTGTAGGTGTCCTGATATGTTGTTGATTCAAAAGGTGGTTTCCCTACAAGGAATTCATAGCACAGAACTCCCAGGCTCCAAATATCCACCTTTTCATCATGTGTTCTTCCCTCAATCATTTCGGGAGGCAAGTAGTCAAGTGTCCCACAGAGAGTTGTTCTCCTGAAGAAAAGTCCAAGTTAATCATTGGTTAAGATAATTAGGGGATCTGTTTCTAGAGTCAGATAAAAACTAATCCTTGCAATCATCTGCACCTCAGTGCAGTACAACTGCACAGACTCAGCACCTTCAGAACAGATGGGAAAGAAAAGCCAGCAGTACAATTTCTACTTCTGAAAGTATCTCAGTCCCTGCAAYGAGTCTCATCTCTCCTTTCTTCACCCCACCCACTAGGACAAATCTGTTCCTCCCTTGTCAGGTGCAGTTTCACACGCCAAGAAATAACCAAATTTCCAGTGAAATGTTTGAGTCCAAGTGCTGGTTTGTCATCTCAGGGACCACTGTAACCCTACACCAACCTTCATCTCAGGGTCACCGAGGTGTGAACTCAAAATCAGGATAACACTCCTCTGCCACACCAGTTAACTGTGATAACCTTCCTTGTAGCAGCATTTTCCCCCAGGATTTTAAGAAGTTCACACCTACTTTCCCCTCCATAACCAACACACTACAGAAGGATTTCACTGCACAAGAGACTGAATTCTCACCTAGAAGATGGAGCATGCACAGACCACCCAAAGTCAGCAATTTTTAACTCTCCATTKGATCCAAGCAGCAGGTTCTCTGGCTTGATGTCTCTGTGGATCACACTCTTGGAGTGACAGTACGAGAGGGCATCTGCAAGTTCTGTGATGTACTGCAAAAAGAATAAAATTTAAGCTACAAAGACATTGTCACCTGAGTTTATTTGGCTGCAGCACAGCCTTTTTGAGGCATAATTATAGTTTTAAGCTAAAGGAATTATTCCTTAACCCTTGAAGTCTGGCAATACAGGCCCTGCCAGAATATTCAGCAATCCTGAACATAAATTCCTGCACAGCACTAACTTCCCAACTTTTTCCCTGTTGAGAATAAGCCAACTAGCACCTAAGAAATCTCAGTTTTCCCCAGCAGAATACAGAACTCAATTTGAAGAGCTGGCTCTATCCTGCAGATAGTCCAGATACACAAAGGAATGGGTAGGAAGCTGGAACAACCTACAGTAGCAGTTCTTTGCTCATCAAACTTGGTGAGCTTCTGAAGTTCCTTGTAGACTTCTCCACGAGGTGCATGCTCCAGGATCAGGTAGACTCTTGTCACRTCGTGGAAGTAGCCATATAATCTGAGAATGTTGGGGTGCCTGCAAAGACATTTCAATGTTTTTCTGAATGAGGGGTTTGTCAGCTCAAAACACACAAAGAAATCTTAGCATAAAGAAGAAATTTTATCATAACCAAAGTTACTTTACTTGGATGCAAACAAAGAATAATTAGTCACTAAACTTTACCTAAGATGAGACTGTATTTCCACTTCTCTTCGTAGTTGATGTTCTACACCAGCTTCCTCAAGTTGTGTTTTAAAGAGCACTTTCAATGCAAGAATAAATTTGCTCTGTTTTTCACGTGCCAGGTACACATTCCCAAATTTTCCTTTCCCCAGAGGACGACCAATTTCAAAATCATCAAGAGACCATTGCCTTCTGCAAGAGGAAAAGAGAAAGTTAAAAGCTGGACAGCTGTGTTGGATTTGACTCCTAAATTTAGTTCAAAAGATACTTAATACTCTAAACTAGATTTTAGTCTTTAAAAAAAATAAAACACCAAGGGAATATAGAAGGCATTGAGATTTTTCAAAAGGAAGTTCTGAAAGCTATTTTCATCCTTCCTGAAGTCTTTGCAGACATTAACRCCAACCACACTACTACAAAATGACTGTGTTTACCAAGCTGGGTTACTTTGGATRCACTTAACCCAGACACATCACCAGTGCATGGCAAAACAATTTAAAGTCATAAACAAATCCAATTTCWTCCTGAGTTAGACTGCCCAGATGAAGGAGGATCTGTTTTCAGTTCATCTCTTGACTGAGGCAGCAGCTATCAGTGTTSTCCCATGGGAAGAGCTATTCTGCATTTAGCCCAAAGTTTTCTTTAGATTACAACAAGTCCTTGTTCCTGACAATTATCAGGTCACAGGCAGTTTTCCTACTATTATGTCTGGATGTCACCAGACTCCACAACCAAACCAACTCCAGCAGGCCTCAGTTATCTAGACTTGAGGCATAACTTACTTTTTAGTTTCTTCACTCTTCTTTTTGGTCTCCTCACTTTTCTTCTTAGCATTCTCTTCAGTTTTCTGTTTAGTGGTGCTTTCTGCTTCAGGGTTTTTTGCTGTGTACAGAAAAATAAATCAGTTTACAAACCAGACCCACACACAGGAGCAAATCCAACTCCAGTGCATCATTTGAAGCAGTTCTTAGAATCCATTCCATGACATTTTAAGCAACCTAACATAACCAGCTGCTGGGAAAGAAACAGCACTGGCAAAMTGTGATTTTAAAAGTTTTCTGAAAATAAATTTTCCCTCCCACAATAGAGTATCCTTGTGCATAAGAGATTAACATGAATCCTGTAAAACCTGTGAGGTCTGAGTACTTATTTACATTAACTGCCTGCTGAGCACCTGGAAGTTTTTAACACCATACTGGCTCTAAGTGGTTGATTTAGAGATAAATTCACAAGGATGGAGCAGTAATAACACCCGAGGTGAAGCATGTGCTGCCCTTCTGCTTGGGGACACAACCATGAACCTCCCTCCAGGATTGTCCCCAGCTCACAGCAGCTTTAGGGAGCATCCTGAATGTCACAGCTGTAGCCACATGTAACTCATCCTCAGAATTACCAGGTCCTGCAGCTTGGGGAGGTTTTTCACTGCTCTTGCTTGCAGCCTGAGGCCTCACAGTCGCCTGCAGGGGWGGTTTGGGTCGGAGCTGCTGCGTTGTTTGGGTACTGGACAGTTTTTGGGTTGACAGTACAGGTTTTTGAGATTGCACAGGAACTCGCTGGGCAAAGTTTGCAGGACACAGAACCCGCTGTGCTGGAGCTCCCTTGGTCAGTAACCGGCTCTGGGCTGAATGCTGGGACACAGGGACACGTTTGGGACCATCCCCAATGGGGTTTGCAACCTTCAAAGAGAAAGAATAGCATATTAACTGTAGAACAGCACACGAGAATCTTTATAGCCTCAGTCAGTATAGGAGGCAAAACAACACAAAGAACATTAACATAAACACTCAAACTCGTCTATCAACTATTTAATTAAAAGGAAGTTTTGTTTATGCTGTTCCAAAAATTTACCTGGCCTATTTAGTTTAAGGTTAAAATAGTGAGACTGCATCTGTGTTTCCAAGTGGAAAACCCACATAATTAGGGTGATCTTGAGCACTGCTGTGCATGTATATCAAYAGTGACATTGATACAGTGCTTGCYTTTAAAAACTATAGCTGAAATAAGTTGATTATACACACACCTGCTTTCTCTTTAGAGGACTTCAAATGTAAGGAGTATGCCCCCATTTAATAAGACATATTAGTATTAACAATAAAAACAAAAGGCAGCTCTGAGCACTGTTTTCTCCAGGAGAAAGTTCTTGAAAGACAAATTACTAGTTTAAAAGCTGTAGTTAATGTGTGATGGGGAGAAACTCGCGCACCAAGGAAAAATCGCATGCACCMATCCCTGAACGGACCAGATCTACAGAATTTTAATGGCGAACTCCCAGGTATCAACACCAACGATCCAGCAGAGGAAATTACTCAGGAAGACGAACATAAACCGCGTATTTCACACATTTACCTTAGCAGCGCGGCCGGGGTACGCGGCGTGGTTCTCCTTCATGTTCCTGTCCATAGCGCCCGAAGAGAGCGGTACGTACGGCTCTGGCTGCGGGCGAGACGGAGCCAACAGAGGTCAGTGCAGCGAGCAGAGGAGGATTCAGGGTCTCGCAGTGATACGGATCCCTTAGCGGTGCCCCGTTGCCCGCACCGCCATGGAGCCGGGCCCCGCCGCTCACCGCCGCCTCACGGAGCTGTTTGAATTCAAACCGCCGCGCCTTAAATACCCCTTTAAACCCCCGCCGCCCGCCATTGGCTGCTCTCCCGCTGCCGCCGCACGCTGATTGGCTGCCCCGGCGGGCGCCCCGCCCTCCCATTGGCTGCCGGGCTCGCTCCGCCGCGCCGCGAGGGGCGCAAGCGCGGCGCCCGCCCCGTCCTCGGCGTTGTCGCCGCGCGGCGCGTTACGCACTTTGCGTAGCGCCGCGCCCCCCCCGGCGCGCGCCGCCCGCGCACTTCCCGCCGGCCGCAGCCGCCGCTTCCGCTACGCAAATCGCGTAACGCGCCGCGCTCCCACCTGTGGCCGCCGCCGCCTCCGCTCCGCCCCGCTGCCGGGAGCGCCGCCAGGTCAGTCCCGCTGCCGCCACAACCCCCCCGAGATCCCCCCATCCACCCTCGGGCCAGCCCGGGCAGCGGCGGTGCTGCCACCGCGCGTGGGGCCGAGCGCGAGCGGGGCCATTGTGTGGGTGCCCCCCCGGACGGGCCGAGCAGGGCCGGAGCCTCCCCAGCGCGTCCCGGCCGAGCGGCCCCGGGCAGCTCCACGTGCCCCCAGCGCTCCGCGGCGAGTGCCAAGTGCGAAGGCACCGCCCGGCCCGGCCCGAGCCACGCGCGGACCCCTCGCGTCCAGCCCCCGGCAGCGCCCGGAGCCGCCGGGACAGCGGGAGCGCGGCCGGTCAGCGAACGCGGCCCGTGAGGAGCGCAGCGAGCGCGGCGTGAGGCGCTGCTGCCCCGCAGCCCGGAACCCCCGGGTCCCTGCGAGGCGCCGCGCRGCGAGGAAAAACTCCATTCGGCACTTGGCGCTTGTGAAGAACTGCGATCCAAGGCAACTTTTCACTGTCTCCGCGGTGCTGAAAACAAGAGCGAAGGAGACCCTGGTTGTGTGTGTTGGTGTTTACAAGTGGTTCAGGATAGGTAAAAAGAAGATGTCGGGTCGCCGTGTCGCTGCAGCGTGTGACAGACGACAGCTGCCCCGGGGCATGGGGAGCATGGCAGCCCCGCTGCTCGACCCGCGCCCGCTGCGGCTGCCCTTTCTCGAGGCTGACGTGAGTAGGACTCGGGGAAGGGACGGTTTGCGCTGGGGACGGGGCCGGGCCCGCCCGCACCGCCGGGCAGCAGCGCCAGCGAGTTAATTCCCAGCCCGTTCACGTCGCCGTGTTTGGGATCCGGGGTCTGGCGGAAGCGGCGCTTCGGAGCTTTGCGGCTGCGACACAAAAGAACCCCCGGGCTCCCCCCCCGCTCCCGGTGGGGGCCGGGCCCCGCCGCTCCCCCGCCCGCGGTCCCGCCCCGAGCGCCGCTCTGCGGCCTCCGCCAAAGGGGGAATGGACCCTCGGGATCCCCGGAAGGGGAGGAACGGGGAGAGGGACCCCCGAGACCCCTGGTAGAATGGGGAGCGGGAGCCCAGGAAAGGGAGAAATAAAGGGACCCCGTGGATTCCTGAAAGGGATAATGGGGAGTGGGCCCCCCGGGATCCCTGAAAGGGAGAAAGGGGAGCGGGCCCCCCGGGATTCCTGAAAGGGAGAATGGGGAGCGGGCCCCCCGGGATTCCTGAAAGGGATAATGGGGAGTGGGCCCCCCGGGATCCCTGAAAGGGAGAATGGGGAGCGGGGCCCCCGGAAGGGGAGGAGTGGGGAGAGAGATCCCCGGAAAGGGGGACGGGGAGAAGGACCCCGGGATCCCCAGAAGGGGGGGGGGGGGATGCAGATCGGGGGCCCCGGGACCCCCGAGCGGGATTTGGGATGGGGACCCCCGAGCGGGATTTGGGATCGGGACCCCCGAGCGGGATTTGGGATCGGGACCCTCGAGCGGGATTTGGGATCGGGACCCCCGAGCGGGATTTGGGATCGGGA